GGAAATATCAAGATTTGGGTTTGTCATATTTGTAGAACAATAAAGTCAATATAAAACTAAATAAGACAATTATTATTTTAGTAGGTAGAGATTAAATTCAATTTAAGGCACTTTTGCTTTGAAGCAGTATCTGTGAAGATAAATGTAGCAGGCTTTCTCAGAACTCCAGCCCCAAATTATGACACAGAGACTTATTATTAGTAATGAATGCTCAACCCACTAGCTCTTGTAATCTAATTCAACCTGTTTCTATTCATCTATGATTTGCCTCAGGGATTTTTACCTTTCTTTCGTTCTTTCTTACTTTTCTTTTTCCTCCATGTCTGTCTGGCTAGGGGCTTCCTGGCGGGTTGGCCTGGGCATATCCCTTTTGTTCTCCCTCAACTTCTCCTCTCCTCCTTTCAAGCCTAGATTCCTCCTACTACTTATTTTCTCTGCTCACCAACCCTGTGGATCCCTCCTCTGCCTAGCTATTGGCGGCTCATCTTTTTATGAGACCAATCAGGTGTCTTAGGCAGGCAAAACAGCATATCTTTACATCATTAAATAAATGCAGCACAAACAAATGTAAGACATCTTCACATAGTTAAAGTAATAGTCCACACACATAACTAAATGAAAATGTTCAGCATTACCTGGGAGCATTATCCTGGAGAGGGTAGAGGAGGCGTGCAATGGAGAGGCATTAGAACCAGCCACACAGTTTTAGCATTTGAATGGTAAATATGTGTGTAGAAAGAGCTTGGGACAGTCAACAGAGGCTGTATAAATAAATAAATAAATAAATAAATAAATAAATAAATAAATAAAGCAGAGAAGCTCTGTTGGAGCAATTATAAAAATATGAAAATAATTTCAGGAAAAGAGGAGTTCAGGTATTAAGTGCTAGCTTTAAAAGAAAGTACAGGAAGATTGATGACTGAGAGATAATATTTAAATCTTTTGATTAATCAATAAGTAATAATGACTGTGTTCTCAATGGGTAAGTAGGATGAAAATATCAGTATATACGTGTAGCACGAATAATAAAACCCAAAGACAGATATTGGGGTTCAAGATGAAGACCAGAGATGCAAAGCAACCAGCCACTAGAGAGTTCTCATCTCTACCAATGCTCAAACAGAAGAGGTGATCCACAGAACCTCAGATTGCATCTCCAGACTGCACTGCGCTCCACCAAGCCTCAGAATCCTAGACTGCTATGCTCTCTTCAACATGGCTAAAGACTAATTGCTGCATGAGATCCTTTGTTTCTTCCTTATATACCTCTCTAGTGGTGGGATTAAAGGTGTGAGCTCTGTTATTCTTTTAGACTGATTTACTCTTGTGTAGCCCTGGGTGACCTTGGACTCAGAAAGATCCATCTGCCTCTTTCTCATGAATCCTAAGAAAAAAAGTGTGTGCCACCACACCTAGCTTCTATAGCTAATTAGTGTCTCTGACTTTGCATTCCAATCCTTCACATAATCTTTATTAAATCATAAAAAATATATCACCACATATAGTAATTTAGCAGATTAAGAAAAATACAATCCTCAGTGACATACTGATTGTTCATAGTAAATAGCTCATAGATGCAGTGAGCATTCTCACATATGACTGTAGAAGTTGGTGAAAGTTTGAAAAGGTTTTACAATTCAATTGACCTTATTATTATTATTGCTGCCATTTCTAAATGCTGTGGTCAGAACAGCAATATTTTACAATGACAAAATAGCATAAGACATTTCTATTACCCAGGAATTGACCAGGTTCTTTACTTTCACAAATCTGAGTACAAAGTAGAACAATGATCCATCATATGAATCAGTTTCACACATCCACACCTACAAGGTGGTTGCAGGTCGAAAACTCAAGTGGCAGGGCTTTCACCCTCAAATTATTTACTAGATCATTTTACAGTGATTTAACAATAATTTATCAGTCAATTTTTTTATTCATAACAAACCAGAAAAACTTTTCATTGCACATTTAGTCAATGAAAAACAAAAACTAATTTTTCACTCTCACTTCTATGGGCTGGATAAAGTTTGGCTGGTTTAGGCAACACTTTGGCTGTGTTAGATCAAAGCCATAGGTCCTGTGCCATCTGTGTCTTATCCTCCTTTACCCAGTAACATGTATTTATGGTAGAGTTGGAAAAAGCACAAAATTACTAAGTTGTAATCAATAGTGAATTCACATTTCCTGCAACTACTCAGGCCATGTCCACTATCACTCCATTTGTCAAAGTTAGCATTTACCAGGCACATTTCAACATAATGAGAATGTCTATTGGGAAGAAATATAAAGACACATTTCACAAGAGAGAGCTGATGTGTCCTGGTGCACAGTCTTCCTATGAGTTTTGACCATTGTAGAATTATTTATACTGTGCAGATCAGCAAGTGACAAAGCGACAAAGGGGGCGGGGGTGTGAGCCTGAGTTTGAAAGCCAGTTTCAAATATTTGCCAGTACTCTCCTGAGAATGAGTAAAGAAAACAACTAAGAATAGTAAATACTGATGCTATTAATCAGATGCTAGGTGATAGCCCCCATGTTGTCATTGATACAATCATCTTATTTTACTAAATAATATATATATATATATATATATATATATATATATTGTGTGTATCTGAACATTCTAACAATTTCAGTCATCACTTTCTATCCACTTCTTACAATAACAAAATGTCTCAAAGGAAAATAGCAGGAAATAATAGTTTATTTTTGAAAATACTGAATAATCACCTCCAACTGGGTTGTTTTTACTGTGTTGTTGGTATGCTTGCACTTCAAATATTTTTTGCTCTCTTTTGTTGATTACATAAAATTTAAGATGCTTCTATCGTCTCTATGTGCTTCCTATGTTGTAATTTATCTGTTTAACTGCTGAATAAATGATCTTCAAGGCTTATGAAAATGAGCAAGAACCAGCTTTAAGCAGCCTGTTATGGGCCAATTATTTATGAACTTCAGTTTGTCAGGTTTGACATTGTAATTGATTGCAATAAAAAAAAGTCCTTACCAAAAGCTGAATTACTTTGAAGGAATTTTCCTGTTTCTCTAAGCTCTTTGCAAGCATGATGAGTGGGTTGAGCTACTTCTCCTGACATAAGCACACAAGAGACATGCAAAGTCCTTTAGTAAACACAGTGACAGAAGATCAAGTGGTTGCTCTACAGACTGCAGCAAATTGTACAGCTGAGTTTCAGCTGTGGTCTGGTGCAGTCTTAGGTTTGTTTCAGTGTGTGCAGATGATAATCTTTTCCCTGCTCTGGCCTTCTCTGTGTTAACATGACTGATAAGGCACCAGTGGCGTTTTATTATCTTATGTGAGTACTTATTGCTTAAATCACCCTGTATTTGCATTACAAATAAGTAGGATCTTAATAATAGATACTCAGCTTGGGTCACTTTATAATAGATACACTCAAATCTCACAATGAAGGTTAATTGTAGTTAATTATACTAGGACCTTATTCACATTAGATAAAGCACTATGGAGTTTACTATGGAATTTGTATTAGTGTGAAAAGGAGAGATGACATCACATTTATTCTTCAGTCATAGTGCCTTATTTGAAATAATAATGCTGTAGTTTAGATATGGGGTGGGGGCTCCCCTAATACCTCATCTGGTGACATTATGGGAAAGTGATGGTACCTCTATAGGCAGAGTAGAACCTATTGGAAGAAAGTTATAGCATTGAAGAAAGCCTGTAAGAAGGAATTGGAGTATTCCTCCCTTCCTGAGCCCCTCTCTCTTTATCTCTGCTTTCCAGTCAGTGTGGAGCTTTCTATACCATCATGTTGAGCTGTGCTTACAAAAGCCCAAAACAATGAAGGCAAGAAACTATAGGCTGAATACTGAGAAATCACAAGCCAAAATAAACCTTCCTTATAAATTAATTGTGTTGGTGGGTTAGAAATTTCACTAACACTGTTAAAATGTTACTAACTTGAAGGATAGCAGTATAATTTGATGCTAATTCACAATTTTCTTATTTGTAAACATTTTCATCTGAAATTGGAAGAGACCATTTATTGTATAGACAGGACAGATGTTATAAATATTTCATACATAAGAAAGCTGAAGCAAAATTTAGAAGGTCATGATAAATAATAGTGGGGACTCATTTTTATAGTTAGTAATTGTAGAAAATGCAAGTTGTATCCACAGTGACACAAGCTGCCATCAGCAGGCTTTGGGGGCTAGTGGGTTATTTGGACTATAAAGACTATCCGTTCAAAGAAACAGTTCAAGAGTCAACTGTTTTATGTATATAACTTAGGTTTAAATTGAATACATATATATATTTAAAATGAGCTTTCTTCTTAGAAGTTCCAACCTCATTTCTAGAGGAAATGAGGAAGGGAGAATGAAATCATTATTTTGATGGGTAAAAGTAGTCATTTCAAACTTTGCTACAGCAGTGAGCAGTTAATGTGTTTGTTTTTAAAACTGACAGTGCTGAACACTCAGCATTTACGTTTACTCATTTCTATGTAAATGTGATAGCAATTGTTCAATGAGAAGAAGTCTTGAATTTGGTGGGGGGAAGACCTGGGAGAGGAAGGATGGGCATAGATAACAATGTAATTTTATTTTAATTAAACTTCTTTTTAAAAGATAACCCAAGTAGTAAAGAGGAGTTAGAGAAGAGGAAGGAAATAATGGAAGGGAAGGGCAGTTGAAGGTGAGTAGGGTTGAATATGATCATTGTGCATGATATACATATATGACATCATAAAGAAGCCTATTATACTGTGCAACTAATAAGAACTAATATTTTTAAATAATAGTCTTAATCATGAAATAACAAAAAATCTATATTTTATGATATTAGAAAATATCAAAACTTATCCACAGTTACACAAATGAAAAATACAAATTAAAAATCTAATAATTAAGATATGCTAATTGATACAGCAGCATCACTCTGGTGAAGACAGGAGTTCCTGTTGATCAACAGGGGTTTATCAGTGTAGGCCTGGTTGTTCTGTAACTCTCAGCCATGGAGCCAGATGGAGCTGGTGAAACAGCTTTATGGAAGAATACCTGTTCTAGCATGGGGCCAGCTGTACCTGTGGAGGTTCCTCTTTGCAAAGGTGCTGGTGATATGGCTGCTGCAGGACCAAAAGAAAGTTCCTGGGAGGAACCTTCTGATGACAGCCTTGAGATTTCTGGTGCCCAGAACATTCCAGAGACGTCAATAATTGAAGTTCCCAGTCCTGACTTCAGTTTCCATAAGGATGAGTGTCTAGACATCTACATTTCCGCTTATGAACACCCTAATCACTTCTGGATCCAAATCATTGGCTCCCACAGCTGCCAGTTGGATCAACTTATCATTGAGATGACCCAGCACTATGAAAATAGTCTGCCTGAAGACATGACTGTGCACGTAGGAGACATTGTAACAGCACCTTATTCTACAGATGGTTCCTGGTATCAAGGCCAGATTCTTGGTACCCTGGAAAATGGGAACTTGGATGTCTATTTTGTGGACTTTGGAAATAATGGAGATTCCCCACTGAAGGAACTCAGGGCTCTCAGGAGTGACTTCCTGAGCCTTCCCTTTCAAGCAATAGAATGCAGTCTGGCACAAATCACCCCCTCAGGTGAACAGTGGAAAGAGGAAGCTCTAGATGAGTTTGAGAGACTCACTCATTTTGCTCACTCGAAGCCATTGGTGGCCAAAATCTCTAGCTATGTCCTGACTGGAAACTCAACTTGGCCAAAAATCCATTTATATGATACCAGTAATGAGAAGAAACTTGATATTGGGCTAGAATTAATTAGCAAAGGATATGCATTAGAAGTTCCAGAAGATGTGAAAGAAGATGTGACTGTCCCAGATGTGTTGAAGGACATGGCCACTGAGACAGATGCTTCTCTTGCCAGCATACTCAATGAGACCACAAAGAGCCCTGAACAGACAGCACATACCCTATCCTGCCTTAGCTTATCAGAAGAAACTACATAGTGTTTTCTTATATAGCCAAGGCTTTCAGAGCTAACTTCTCATCAGTTATCATTTTCATTAAATAAAATGATTTTAAGTAAAAAAAGATATGCTAATAAATGTGTAAAATATATTCATAATGCCAAAGTACTGTCATAACTATTCTAACAAACACATGTAATGTCTCAAGTAATTTTCTGTTATTTACTTGGCTGTGGCAAATGATAGCATAGTAACAATGAATAAATCCCACCTACTGAGAAAATTGTGTTTTATCACAGGAGATTTTTTTTAAAAACTTAAATTTTTTTATTGTGGTAAAGTGCATATAACATGAAATTGACCAGTTTATTTTTTTCCTTACTCCAGGCTGAAAATTCAGGTCATGTTATAGCATCCTTAATTATTCTTTTTTAAAAAAGATTCAGACAATATATTTTGATCATGTTTTCCACTCTCCCAATTACTCCTACATCCTCCCCACTGCCCAAAAGAAAGAAAAAGAAATACAAAAGCACACTGATGAAAATAAAAATAAACACAAATAAGATTTTTAAGTAAAAAAATGAAACAAAAAGTACACAAAAATACCATTGAGTTAGTTTTGTGTTTGCCAACTATTCCTGGGCAAGGGCCCTGCCCTGAAGGGTGGTTAATATATCCAATGAGACTCCATTAGAGAAAACTGATAACATTTAGAGGGAAATCAACAGAAAACAGCAAATTGATAGCCATGCTGTACAAGAAGCACTTAAGGGACTGTAGAGATGGCTCAGTCAGTAAGTTGTTTGCCATACAAACTTTAGGACTTAAGATTGGATGCCCCACACCCACATTAAAATCCAGTATGGAGGTAAACATCTGTACTGTAATCCAGCCATAGGTTGGATTTGGAAACAGATGGATCTCTGAATTTCACTAGATAGCCAGTCCAGACAAAAATCAGTGAGCTCCAGATTTAGTCAGACTCTGAAAAAATAAGGTGGAGGACAAGAGGCAAGATACCCAGTGAAGGGCTCTAACATGCCCAAACACGGCAAACACGGCACCAATGGCGCCCTGTTCTTCTCCCTTATTTCTTTTGTCTCTTTTATTTGGCAGTTTCCCATTTCTGAGACTGACCATCAAAACTAAACCACTGGGTTCCCTCATTTGGCCACTTCCATTCCTGAGACTGACTACCAAGGTCCAGCTATTAAAATGTCTTATTTGGGTACACTAACCAACCAGTCCAATCAGAACTGGCCAACTCAGCCTAGCACAGATTTCCCCTTTTTTCTCCTTAAAAGCCACTCCTGCAGAGCCACTTGCTGCTGTTTCTGCCAGATCCATAGTCAGCCACCCTGTCTTTCTGTCTTACTTAGTAAAGGATCTCTTTGTATTGAAAATTCCTGTTTGGATGTGGTCTATTATTAATCTAATGTGGTGATATATTGTTTATGATCTAATAAAGCCACTGAAAATAAGAATGCAAAGCCAGCCACACCAGTTAGCTACAGAAGCTAGGCAGTGGTAGCACACACTTTTAATCCTGGGACTCAGGAGACAGGGACAGATGGATCTCTGTGAGTTCAAGGCCACCCAGAAATACATGAGAGAGTGAAGCAGTCTAAAAGAGTAACAGAACTCATGCCTTTAATACCAGCACTAGAGAGGAAGAAGCAAAGGGTCTCATGTGGCAATTAGTTTCTAACCACATTGAAGACAGGAAGAGATTTAGTTTCCAGTCACAGGGAAGACAGGATCTTCATTTCAGCCTTGGTAGAGGTCAGAATACTGGCTGGCTGTTTTGTTTCCCTGACCTTCAGCTTGAACCCCAATATCTGTCTCTGGGTTTGTATTATATGTGCTACAATCCAGGGTCTAGAAAGGAGCACCGAGCAGTGTGTCAGTCCCTTCATTTTGATTTCATGATTAGGATTGGCCATTAAACATCCCCTCCAAGCTTCATCCACATTTATTCAATCGGTCTGGTGTCACATCTCCTCATCCAACAGTAGCTAATCATTCCTCTACCACTCACCATCCCAAACAGTCACCAGGTCATCATCGGGTAATTACTGTTCAGTATCGGACATCCCCCCTGTGTTCTGTGAGAATCTGGAGACTTCATCCCACCATGACCTTCAATGGTTTGGCAGACTCCCTTGAATGACTGATAGGCACATTCTGTTCCATTCATTTCAGTTTGGTGTGGTTTTCTTATCATTTTTTGCTGCCTGTTCAGCTGGAATCCATTAACCTTCTGGAAACCTTTTTGACAGGTACCAAATTTCTCCTCAAACCATTGTGTCCCCCTTTTTGATGACAGGTTGAGTGATGATCTATTCCCTCCTAGAGACCTCTCTATGGCCACTCCAGACACTTGGTGATTCTTTTCTATCTCAACCTTGGCTCATGACCAGCATTAGTGATGGGATACACTCCTTCCATCCCTACTGACTCTCCTTTAGGATGTCTTCTTCCAAATCTCACACTGCTACAACTCACTGCAGATCTTAAACCTCCTAAGCTCAGGCACATCAGTACTCAAGCTTGGCCCCAATATCTCCTAGACAACCAGTGTAATAGGCACCTAATGGCTCTCTTGATCCTAACATTATTAGGGATCTTAATAACTTCTATGTGGGTAAAGTAAAATGGAAGGAGATCCCTTGTGTGTCTACCTTTTCTGTTCTTTGAGCATAGTCTTTTTTTATGTGCCCCTTATTTAACTTCCCATGTCCCCCGTACTCTTAAGTCTTCCCTCTCACCTCCCAATCCTTCTGCTCCAGAGGCTGAAAGTGTATCCTTTGGTCTTGCCTATGAACTTCCTCCTATCCCTATCTCCATCCTCATACTCCTCCTGCTCAGTTTCCTTCCCCTCACTCTCCTGAATCTTCCACCCTCCACTTTCCTCCCTCCACCTGCACATCTCCAGGGTAAGAAGGTCAGTCTTCATGTCCTCAAACCCTGTTTACCCCTCCCCTACCACTCCTTCCCTATCCAGTTTTGCTCAGAATTGGATAGCTCAACAAGCCCCACTCCTTTCAGCTTCCCCACACTTACTTCCATGATAAACTGCACCAGATGCTGTCCCAATCTTGCCCCTAAGGGAGGTCACAGATACAAATGACCCTACTCTCATTTATGTCCCATTCTTTCTTGGTGAAATTATCCAGGTTGAAAAAATATCTGCATTCCTTTACTTCAGACCCCACTACCTTCACCAACAATTCCAATATCTAATCCAGTTTTATGATCCTACCTTCCATGATCTATATAGGATCCTTCTAATAAAATGCCTCCCCAAAGAACACAGACATGCCTAGAGAAAGTCCCATGTCCATGCAGATCAAATGCACCAAACAGACAGGACCCATGACATGGTAGTTCCTGACATATGTCTTTCTTGGAATTACCATGAAAATGATGATTGTCAGTCCAGGGACCTTCTCATTAGTTGTCTCCTCTCTAGACTAAAGGGAACAGTCCTTAAGCCAATTAGCTTTCAAAAGATCCTTGAGGTAGTTCAAAACAAATATGAAAATTCTCCTCAGTTCCTTCAAAACCTTAGACAGGCTCCAAAATATGAACCTAGACCCAAAGACCCTGAATGGCCAACAAGTCCATATGACCTTTTGACCTTATGACATTTTTCCCAGCCCTACTGAGATATAAGAGCCAAACTCAGATGACTAGAGCAAGGTCCACTTATATCCCAATCCAGTGCCATAGCCCTGGCCTTTAAGGTCTTCCAAAATCATGATGAAAACAACCAAAATCACGGGTGCCAACTCTTAGTTAAGGCTCTTCAACAGACTGCTGGTGTTGGAACACCCCAAAGGAAGGAAATATCAAGTCAGAAGGAGCCTCCAGGTCCTTGCTTCAAATGTGACAAGGAAGGTTACTGCCCAAATCCTCACAGACCTACCCAACTATGTGAATTGCCTCTAAGTCATGGCTTCCCTGCAGTTATCCATCCTTCCAGCACCTCCTTTGGACCCACTGAGCTGAGCAGCTGAGGCCTAACAGGACCCAGACTCTACTACTGATCAGACTAAACTCACACCAACCATTCTCAAGGAGCCTAGGATCTCACTTCTTGTGTCAGGTCACCTCACCATGTTTCTCGTAGATACTGGAGCACCTTTTTCAGTCCTGAAGAAATTCTGTGGTACCAGTCGCTTATCTTCCTCATCTACTGTAGGAGTACATAGACCCCTCCAGACTCCTCCCTTAATGTGCTCCTTCAATGGCTTTTCCTTTTCTTACTCCTTTCTCCTAATAATGTCATGCCTTATTGGGAAGAAATGTCCTTTCCAAAATTGGCATGAATTTTCCCTTCTACCTCTGCAGTAACTCCCAGGACATCTCTGTGTCTCTCCTCCTTTCCTTGGCTTCCATTTGAACTCTCTCTCCCCCAAATTCCCACAGATCTCTTATCCTCTACCCCATTCTCTATCCAATCTCACTGTTTTGAATACCATATCTCCTCTTACTGCACATCATGAAACCCTTTCAAATACTCTTAAAAGCACTTTTGTCTACATCTCCAAACCCCAATACTTCTATCCCTAATTAACATCAGAGTCCTCATATGATTCAATCTCTTTTATCCAAGTGGCTTCTATGCCCCACTTCTTCACCCTAAAATATGGCCATATTGGCAGTCAAAAAAAAAAAAACTCAAAAGACTGTTTTGTTTAATCCAGGACCTTTGCTCCATTGATGTTGTCCATCTACACCCTAATATTTCCTCTCCACTGTCCATGGGAATAGTTTTGGCTTTTTGATCCTAGGCCTTAAAGATGCTATTTTTTCAAAGCCCATTCTCAAGACTTTTCATCTTCAATTAGAGAGACCTTGATACTCAACAGCCCTGACAACTGAACTGGACTGTCCTTCCCCAGGGATTCAGAGACATCCCCCATCTTTTCAGCTAAGCACTCACCATGGACCTGGCTTGCCTTTCCTCCTTTGTCTCCCACCTGCTTCAATATTTAGATGACCTGCTCCTTTGCAGTCCTTCCTTTTCAATC